GTGAAGGGGCTGGGGGTGTGTCAGAGTCCAGAATGGGACGTCCCACTGGAAAAGTCTGTGAGTGAACTCGTGAGGCAGTTAAATCATTCTGGGCCCCGCACAAGGCTGACTTCTCTCCTGGTGTCCCTGCTCTACGAAGCCAAAGGTAAGAGCTCTAGTCTCTCCCTGCACGGCATCTCCTGACTCAGTTTAATAAGTGACTCTGGGTTGCTTCGAGCCATTTCTATTTGCTCTGCAGAAGACATAACAATTTTATCATTTTGACTGCAAGATTTAGTTTGCAGAGGGTACAGGAAGGACACAATGATGAAAGATAGCAAGAACTTTCTAACAAGTTTGAGTTTTAGCTTTTCATGATAAAGTACAGTCATGTGATAAAGTAAAAGTTTAGTTTGTTAAAGTTGAACTTTTAAACATAGATTGTCTTTCCTGAAATGATTTCAACTTTGTCATATATACAAGTATATGGTTTCTTTTTCTGTCCAAAGTAAAATGTTTTCTTCTCAAAGTTTACCACACGATCAGCCAACTACAGTTTCAACATTAAACCTGGAATGGATATGTCTTCCTTGATTACCTGCGACTGATTCACAAGTAATTACCTGCCCTGCTCTTGGTGAAAATCTCTCAGGTTTCCATGTAGTTTACTTTGAGTCAAACTTTGTTTTAAACTTTAGAAACACCTGGTTTAAAAGGCAGCAACTATGGGCTCAAACCTCAGGGGACAGTCTCCTATGTAATTACTGCTCAGACAGCAGGGAGGAAAATCACTTCCTGCAGGTAAACAAGCTGTGATTATGAGAATTCATTCTGTGTGAGGGTATTGTGTGCCACATCGGCAACAGGAGGAGGAGGAGGAGGGTGGGGGAAGCCTTTGGGTTGAGGTTTTGGGGAGAAGGGGGATGCAGACACATACAGTAAGTTGATATTGTTCAATTTTCAAACTTTTTGTTGTTTTTCCTAATAGCTGATTATCTACTGTCATACAGATGTTTTATGGAAAGATGAATCCAATGGCACAGTTTAGTTTGGATGCACCCCCATTGCTTTTTGAGATTTTTGTCAGTGGACTTCTGCAGTGTTTTCTGTGTAAAAAAAAAAAGAGAAAGAAATTGGTAACAGTAAAGTAACTGATCAGATAAGAAACAAGAAAGAAGGGGCAAAGAGTGACAGGAGGAGGAGTGAGCCTGGATTCCAAAAAATGCAGCAATAAAAGGCTTTCTCTCTCCCGTCACCACATCTCTGACTCCCCCACTCTGATTACGCTCATGTAAAGGAATGCGGGTTACCATAGTGATCAGTCACCAGCTGTTTAAAAAGCTCTGTGAGTTAGTTCAGAGGCCTTCAAGCCTAACGGGAACAGCGAGACAGACTTTCAGAAATTTGGAGTGCTACGGATTTGTGTTGTCGACCCTTTGGTTCCAGTGAAGGGAAATCTTTCAGTGATATTCTGGACGCTGCCAAGCTTCCAACTTGGTGACAAGTTTAGAGAAGGGCCCTGTGTACAAGGCCAGCTCCATGAAAACATGATGTTTCTAGTCTGATGTGGAAGAACCTGACTGGTCTGCACAGAGCCCTGCCTTCAGTCCCAGCATCTGTGACAGGTGGAAGGATAGAAAGCAGAAGAGTGGAGGCTGTTATATCAATAGATTCATGACCATGGTTCACAAATGGTTGTTCTACTTCTAGCCACAGAGCAGTAGGGCTTAGATGTACTAGGTGCTGAAAACGGACACTCTCTAAACCTGCTTTGGTGGGGGGTTTATTTTTCAAACATTTAATTATTACTTTTGATTTGATTTTTTGATTTGATTTGATTTATTCTTTCAAGCATGTAAAGACAGTTGATATGTCAACACACATAATTTTACACATATCCAACAAATGCTAATCCAATATCAATTTGCTTATACCTAGTACATGCTTGAATGGAGTAGGAAGAAGTCAGACTTATCCAGTCCTACCCCATGACATCATCTTACATCATTGGTTTGCAAGCAGTATCTCTACATAAATAATTCTCTTCTACACCACACAAGTAATATACTAAAAAAATTTAACAGCGTGTTAACATTCTTACATAATTACATTCTTAAATAATTCTCTTCTACACGACACAAGTAATATACTAAAAAATTATTACAAAGTAGTGTTGCACGATATACCGGTACTAGTATGGTACCGCGGTACTGAGGCATTTAAAATGGTACTATACTGCATTTGGATGGGACCGGTACTTGCAGCGCCGCCGGC